TAAGACATCCCTTGAAAATAAGACCTAGCGCATCTTTGGGAGCAAAAATTAATATAAGACACTGTCTTATTTTTGGGGAAACAGGGTATCTACCTACCTACCTACCTACCATTTAAAGCAAATGATCTGGATGGCCTTTCTTTCATCCAGGGCACTGTGGAGTTTCTAATACACAGGTCGTCTAAGGATTGTGGATCTGCAAGAGTACAAACATTTGGATGTAGGGCAGCAGGCAAAGTGCGAATCGTGTCTACGGGAGCAGGCTCCCTCACCACTAACAGCACCGCCCTCGCTGCCTTCCTGCATAGTGACTGTGCCAACACTTGCCCCGAGAGCTGAGCACTGCTCCGTCTTGTAGCCACTGGTTTGGACTTTAGATACGGCAGGTAGCTCAGCCGGATTTCCCAGCAGCCCCCGTTTACTTCTCACTCAGGTACACGTGCAGGCCCACACTGACTCAGCACCACGGTTGGATGCGTTCCTCACAGCCTTTTTTAAAAAAGAGTTATTTTTCCTCCCTTTGTTATGGAATACTCTAGCTCAGAAACAATTAACAGCAGCTTGTGTGGAAACCAGGCTGTTTATTTTGAGAACGCTCTTCCTGGAAGCCAAAGGGGTGCAATAAATAATCTTCCCAATGTCAACATGCTCCACACAGGCCACAGGGAAAACCTGCGGACGCTAAGGAGGGGCGGAGGCAGAGGCAGGGTGGGCAGAGGGTGGCTTCCACACCACTTCACAACCTCTGAGGATGTTAAGTTCCCTGGGGACACAAATGGCTTCCACTCCAAGACTGGCCTAAAGACTGGCAGGGCAAACCTAGCCGGTGGCACCACGGAAGAAAGACCTGTCATCTGCTTTCCTAAGGGTCACGGCCAAGGACCCCCGAGCAGTCCAGCGTGGTCACACACAGGACCACCACGAGCCAGAATCACCTCAAAGGCACCAGGCTTGTGGTGTTTGTCCAAAGAGACTCTGCCTTCTGTTCTCCATCGCATCTCTTATGCCCACCAACCCCCCTTCTATTTGCAAGAAAATTGGAGGAAAATAAACAAAACAAAGAAACAAGCAACAGCAGGGAGGTTAAAAAACCTTGTCTCTAGGTCCTGTGGAGGAAGCAAAACTTAGTTCTTTGGCTTGTGGCCCCAAGGATGGATCTTGTAAGACATCATTAAGCTGCCCCGGGAATGCTTAGCTATCAGCAGCGAGAAAAGAGATCACATGGATTTTAATGGAAATGATGCCAGTTTTCAATTTTGTGACTGTCTTCATGGAGGGCTATTGGTAAGGCTGGCACCGTCACAGCACTGCACAGCCTAACGTGGCACGTCCTAGCGATCTCCGTGCCTAGGACAAAATCCTGTGTCATGGCCGAGGACAAACTGTCCATGGGAAAAGCTTCATTGCCATGGTCATTGTGAGAAATTTCCAAACACCTCTTTGCAGGCATTTAAATTAATTAATCATTGGAATGCATTAAGACAAGCATCAAGACATTTGAGTGATACACTTGCAAGTATGTAAGGAGGAAATAGTTGTGATGACAGTAATCAAGACCCTATGCCCCCCGCCCGCCCCAAACTCGATAGTTTAGTAAATTATGACCCATTGTGTCAGGTAAGTCCTTCTCGGAGGGCTATCTTGGGCAGGAAGGAGACCGGGGGCTCAGTGGTTAGAGGGTGTGGCTGCTAACGGAAAAGCTGGTAGGTGGAATCCATCAGCTGTTAGGGAACTCACTTCCTCATGGGGCTGTGCTACTTTCTCATAGGGTTGCTGTGAGTCAGAATCGATTGAACAGCAATGGCTTAATGGGTTCTGCGCACTTCAGGGGGTACGACCACCAGCACCCCTGGCTACTAAGTCGATGTCAAAAGCAACTCCACTGCTATCTAAACACCTACAACTGTCTCCAAAAAAAGTCACCGCCACGGAGGCACCTGTCAGTCCTCAGGATCCTGTCAGGGAACTACGGCAGGGTTCCGAGGCTGCAGTTTTTTATGGAGCCGAAAGCCTTATCTTTCTCCCGAGGAGCAGCTGGTGGGTTCAAACAGCTGAATTTGGGGTTAGCAGCCCAACACACGACCCATGTGTCCACTGGGATGCCTTATAATCGTCTCCACAAAGGACCAAGCATTACCTGGGGGCAAAATCACCCTTGGTTGAGAACCACTGAACACTAGAAAATATACTACAGAGATTGTAAATGTAAATGCGTTCAAGGGCCGAGCTAGTGCCAGTCCTATAAATAGACTGGGGAGATAAGTTGTATGGGGCAGCCTCTGGCCTTTGGCCGAGGACTACAAAAAAAGCTCTTTGGGACATCTGTTTTAATTTCCCAATTAAGGTAGAAGATCTAATGTTAAACCTCGCAGCTTATCTGAAATTCCTAAGGAGGTTTTTTTTTGGTCCTGGTGATACTGTGGGCTGAACACTATCTGCTAACTGCATGTCAACAGTTCAGACCCCCAGCAGCTCCACCGAAGAGAGACAAGCTATCTGTCTGCTGCTGTCAAGACTTACAGTCTTGGAAACTTGAGAGAGTCAGAGCTACTTCGACGGCAGTGGAGGGTGGCACAGTATCAGAGAGGGCCATGGACAAGCCTGTACCAAGCTGTCTAGAGGTTCGGGAGATCTGGCAAAGAAAAGATCCCTTTCGCCTTCCTCAGGAGCCACTCACTTCCAGCACATTTCCTTGAAAGGATCCTACACCCCTTTCCCTGTGGCCAGCACAGACCCAAATCCAAACCTAAAGAAGATTCAAGTGCATTTTGGCTTTAATGCATGCATCCCTACAAGAAACAGCAATTTCAACACACCATGCCCATATTTCAGTGCCCACACCTTCAGGATACACAAAAGGACTCTTATCTGCTTTCTTTCTTATTGCTCACCGGGCTACCGAATGCATCTGTTGGTGGCCATCAAAAACTTAAGTTACCCTTATCAACACCGTCTTCAGAATGGCCTTTCATGGCATTCTAGTGCCAGGATAGGAACTAGCCATCACCAACACAGCCTAATTTCTCTGTCCTTATCAAAGAGGTGGTTAAGAACACACTCAGATTTACTTACCATGGATCCAGGAATGATCAAACAACTTGTTCTCCCTCCCCTCACCCCCTTCAAATCGTGTATCGGGCCAACTTAGCGTTGAGAAACTCAAGGTATTAAAAAAAATTAATCAATGAATCAAAACAGCATTTAAAAAAAATCACAAAATTGTTCTCTCAAGGAAGCAAAAGGGCTGCTAACCAAGAAGTCAGCAGTTTGAACCCACCAACCGCTGCACAGGACAGAGATGTGGTGGCAGCGGCAGCCTGGGGAACCCCGCCGGCCAGTTCTACTGTGTCCCATCCGGTGGCTGCAAATCCAAATGGGCTCAAGGCAACGAGTCCATTCCGAACTCATATTCAATTAAAACTGGACATACTTGGTTTTTTTCTATACGTTTTGGGCCTCAAATTTTCTATCACATATGTATTTCTATAATACACATGTCATCTGGAAATTTTAAAAAGTTTTATACAAGAGCTTCCTGGAATTGATAAAATGGGGGAATCTTTCTGCAGGACTGAAAGTACATGTCAAAATATAACGAGAAAGAGCGAGAGAGAGGTCGTTGCTTGCGTCTGCCAAAGCCCCCACTAACTGCTAATGAGTAACTACAATCTCCACACATCCCCTGGACACGGGTTCTCATTAGACAACAGTTCACGAAAACAAACGTCAATTGCTCGTATGGCAAGCTCAGCTGGCATTGATTCAAAATATTGCCGAAGCGGGTGAAACAGTGATCTTTAAATCCACAATGCGAAGATCATTCAAGAGCTGACATTAGTCAGACAGTAGCGAGAGGTGGTGAGAAGTCACTAGAAAGCACAAGCAAGTAACAAGGTGAAGGCTAGTGACGGCCAAACGCAAAGTAAGACGACAGCGAAACGGCTCCCGGCACCACTCAGCATAGAGGACAGTGGGCGGGTGTGTTTAGTAAAGAAACCGAAGGGAGGTTAGGGTGTTCAGAAAAGCAGGACACAAGCGCTAAGCATCACTGACCATTTGAATTATGTTTTAAAAGCGTTATTTACCAGTTTTATTTACCAATACTAGAAGTGTTATTATATTTGTTTAAGGCAAAAAAATTGTTTTTTTCGATTCCTAAAAATTAAGTCTGACAAGGATTATAAAAATCTTCCCAATGTCAACATGCTCCACACAGGCCACAGGGAAAACCTGCGGACGCTAAGGAGGGGCGGAGGCAGAGGCAGGGTGGGCAGAGGGTGGCTTCCACACCACTTCACAACCTCTGAGGATGTTAAGTTCCCTGGGGACACAAATGGCTTCCACTCCAAGACTGGC